TATATATATATATATATCAATTTAGATTAAGGATGTATTTGATAGAATTAGTTTAAGCTAAGACTTAAAAAACTAAAAACTTCTAAACCAACCGAATGAATTGAAAATGTCTTGTAAGATTAGTTAATAAGTTAGTTGATACATTTAAAATGACATAAAAGATATGTTTAATTATTTAAAATAAAAAATATTTCAAATGAAGTAACTAAGATAAAAATAGAAAACTAATTAAAAATAAAAACTAATCAACCAATATATTTTTTAATGGTACTGAAAACGTTTGTAGGAATTCTTTACTTTATATAATCTAATTTTTTATGTATTCAATTCTTTTAATGCAAAAGTTATCTTGTTCAAGAGTATTTTTAGAAGATTAATTTTTATCTAAAGCATTTTTAAAGATTCTTTTAACTTCTTATTTAATTTAATTTTTATTTATAATATTTATTTATGAATTAAATTTTAATATTTTATAAATATTATTAATAATTAAAAATAATATTATTTCATAGTTTAAAATACTTATCATAAATTTAAAATATAGTTTACATAATATATATTTATATGAAATGTAAATATAATTTTTATATTCATATATAATATTTATTTGTCTATATAATTTATTATAATCAGTGACGGATCCAGAAATTTTAGATAGTAGGGACAATACTTATTTATATATTTGTAGTATTAAAAATTTTACATATAATTTTTAAAAGCATAAATATATATCATAATTATTTTTTTATAAATTTTTATATCTACGATTATAATTAAAGATGAAAATAAATTACGTGAGACTAGATTTTATTATAATTTAGTAGGTTTGAACCTAACTTTCTTTAAAAATATATATTTCAAGTATGACTTATTTATCTATCATAGATATTTTTTAAATGTTTGGTTAGAACTACAATCTTAAAGACCTACTTTATAATAATTTAACACTATTAAAAATATAAAAATAAATATGATAAATCTTATAAAAATCAAGTTTAATTTATTTATGATATAAACATGTTTTTAATATCTAATATATATTTTAGATGATAATTTATTTAAAATATATTTTATAATAACACTTCTAAATATAATATAAATCTTTTGATCTTTCTTATTTTGATTTTTTTAATCAACGTATACAATTTTACTATTTTGATTTTTTTAATCAGCGTATATAATAAATAAAAAATACAAAAAGTAAACATACATATTGCAAATTTTATTTTATCAAAAATTGATTTTTTTTAATATATTATATTACATATGTGAGTTTTAATATATATATATATATATATATATATAATAATTAAATTTTTTAAAAAAATTAATTCATTATTAAGGAGTATTCTTAATCACATAAGAGAATTAATCTCCTTAAAAAATTTGACAGACATCAAATAAATAAACATCTTCTCCAAATTTATATTTTATACATATGATAATTTAAATATATATATTTATTTTATAATAAACATTTAACTATGAAATATAATAAACATTTAGCTATGAAATATATACACGCTAAAATATTAGTAGTTTATAAAATCATGGCATGACATAATTAAGTTTGAATAAATTTCTTAAAAATTCATCCATATTGCCTTAACATGCAATGTAATGTGACTAACTTTTAGTAAAAACAAATAAATCGGAATGTGGCTTGTGAATCGTGATAGGTCAAAATTACACACATATTATAAAAGTGATACATAATTCATAATTGTTTTTGATTTCTACTTTTAATAAATCATTACATCTTTCATTTATTAAGAAGAAAAAAAACAAACGAAACAACTACTCAAATTTTTAAACAATCACTCATTTAATTTATTTCCTTTTCATTTTATTTATAATTTTTTTAAATTAAGAGAGACGAAGTGTTTATAACAGCGAAATACAGAAGTTACACCGAAAGGAAAGATCTTGATAAAAATATGGTCCTAGTAACTGCCCCTTTGGAAAACATTATTATTGCGTGGAACAATGTCCACATGCGTGCCCATTATATTTCATGGGTTCATATATACCTCATTGCATTTGCATTGTGCATCTAAGTTACATCTCAACCAACCACAACAATTCAACGTTATAATTCACATTTCACATCCATTAAAATGTTTTTTTTTTTTTACACCAGTTGTTCAATGGATATTCCAACTATATGAAATCAAAGACATTTTCACATCAGAAAAAAAATGTAAAATAAATTATTCTACTTCAGTTATTCTAATCGACGTAGAATGGTATTTTTTCAAAATAAGTAAATTTGATTTTTGTCATCTTAAATATGCAAATATAATTTGACTATATCAAACAGATCATTGACAATTCTAGACAATCTAGATAATCAATAAGTTTCCAATGCACCAAATTAATACATATATATTACTAACTATGTAGTACATCAGAATATTTAAACTAATAATTAAAATGATCTAAATTAGTATCATCTAGACATCTAGTACATCAAAAATCTCTACATAATATAATAATTAGATAAACTAATTAAAAAATCCTAAAATAATCATATATACAATTTAAACTATCAAACAAGCTAAAAACTAATAAACTAGAGTAAACCTTCACTGACCTCATTAATATTGGATTCCACTAGGCATGGCAACCGGGCGAGGCGGATGCAGGTTTTACGTTCCCCGCCCCCGCCCCCGATACCTGCCGGAGATAAAATCTGGGTCCCCATCCCCGCCCCCAGCGGGGTTCAGGTTTCCCGCCCCCGCTCATAATTTTTTTCTTCTTTTTTTCTTTTAAATAAATGAACAATTTTTAAAAAATAAAAGAAAAGTAAAATAATATAAATTTTTACATATAAATATTTATAATTTTGGTTTATATATATATATAAAAAAAATTAATTATATTATTAAGCGGGGCGCGCGGGGACGGGGGCGGGGTGGGTATTAACAGTCCCGCCCCCGCCCTCGCCCCCGATTTTATCAATCGGGGAAAACCCGAACCCGATAAACACGAGTTTTCCCCATCCAAATCGGGGCGGGTTCGGGCGGGTACCCACGGAGGCGGGTTAGATTGCCATGCCTAGATTCCACACCGATATCTCATCAAAGAAACAATATATGCAATTGACGCATCTTACAAATAAGCATGATTTTAATTAATCTCAATTATTGTCGCATGGTCTACTATATTTGATTGTTCACACGTTTACTAGATTATACTTCCTCCGTTTTTTTTCATAGTCATTTTGTCAGTATTTTGTTATTTTTTTTTCATTGTCACTTTTCTAAGGTCAATGACTTATTAATTTTTTTTCATTTTTATCCTTGATAATTAATATATGTTTACTGAACAATGTGTCTATTTATTTTTTAATGTACCTATTTCTTCTCCAACCACCTAAAGGATATAACAGGAAAATAAGTAATAAATATTTTGAAAAACTAAAATATCAATTATTTTCCTAATTCTTGTGCATAACCTTAAACAACAATGAAAAAAATGAAGGGAGTATTTCTCAATTGTTCTTAAACTTTATGTTTGTGCTAATTAATACTTTTGTCACTTTACCATCGTACTAGTTTTCTTCATTATTAATTGTTTCACCTCCATACTCAAGTCCCAAAGGCATTTAGTTCCAACAAGGGAGCAATACAGTTGTGCTAGGTACCAACATGGTCATGCTAGGTGAGGGTAAGCACAATTGGGTATTATTGGTTTCTCACAACTCCTTCTCGAAGTTGAGCACATTCGTTCTACCCTTAAGCACATCCATGTTCATGAAAGTACATCCTCACTTCATATTTTAGCATAACCATGGAAAACTCAGTATAACTATGCTTCCTATATGCATGATCGTGGTTATCACTTAAGCACATTCGTGCTCTCTGAATGACGTACACTTCCAAACAGTGTGAACACAATTCTAAAAGACACATTTCTCAACTATATATTAAGGTATGATATATGTAGCTCTTTTTAAACACGCATTTGGGA